TCACTTCACATGTCATGTTCGCCGAGTAGGAGAAGAATCTCCTTGATGTTTAGTTTCCCTTCACATTCATAATAGGGTGAAAAGCAAACCATACTAAAGTTGTCCAAAAAAATCAGATGATCTAGCAAATCCATTTTATAAGCCGTTTTCCCCCATATGCTTAATGACTCTAAAGAGTCTATCAATTCTTCGCTTAAGTTTAGAAAAAAAATAAGAAAACAAATGTGCCTTTTATCAACCACCAAGAATACCGAGCAACCGAAGTAACGATTAACGAAAATACCGGGTCGATCCAACGTCGAATCGCCGGGGAAAATACCTTTTATAAAAAAAAAAATAGAAGTAGAGATTAGATAACGAACACAAAAAATTAACTCTAAGCTTAAGACAAGATTTTCACGATTTTGAGGCAAGTTCTCACCGAGAGAAGCTTTTCGAGAGAAGGAGCAACCGGAGGAGGTAGATCGGCTGCGGTCTCGTGTTTCCGTGAGAGGAGAGCGGCGTGAGAGGAGAGTGACGAGCTTTTCACGATCTTGAGCGAAGGAGCAGCCGAAGGAGAAACACCGGCTGCGGTCTCGTGCTTCCGAGCGGGGAGATCGCGTGAGAGCCGAGAGGAGAGCGTTTCACGATTTCCGTGAGAGGAGATCGCGTGAGAAGGAGAGGCGTGAGAGGAGAGCGGCGTGAGAGCACTGAGAGGTGAAATTAGGGCTTCCGGCTTCCGCTTTCATTTCCATTTTCCATCTTATAGTATATATGTATAATATAAAAATAATAATATAATATATTATAATAATTATATACCTTATATTATATAAATATATAATAACTATATTATTAGAGTTTAGATAGTATGTAAATGTATTATTATTAATAATTTATTTTACATTATAATTTACAGATTTTAAATTTTAAAATATATTAATTTTTTTTAGTATATAATTATTTTAAAAATATAAAAAAATATATATATATATATATAATTTTTTTTATTTCGAACAATAACGATTTGAACACGAACGAACGCATCACTGTTCGTGTTTGGTTCGTTTAGCAAACCGAACGAAAAAAATTGTTCGTGTTCGTCTCGTTTGCTTATCGAACGAATCGAACACGAACGCTCTGACGAATCGAACACGAACTGTTCGCGAACAACGAGCTTTTTTGACAGCCCTATATATGAGCACACGTGTGTGTAAAAATTTAATGTTTAGGTGTCTGATATGTAAGTACATAAAAAATTAATGTAAGGTTTTATTTTGGTTGAATTTCATAATTTGAAGAGTTTTGGATGAAATTTCTAGAGTTCTATTAATAAAATGTAAGAAGATATACATGCATATCACTTAATTCCTATGTATTTACATATATAACTATACCTCTATAATGATTTAGTACGAATCTTACAGGAATCTTATGGTCGTAAGAAATAAGGGTGGTCAAAGATGGCCCATTAGAGGTCAAGAATCATATCAACATGAATCTATGAAATTCAATGCCTAACCAAGGCTACTCCTATAAAGTATACAAAACCTGCTAAAGAACAATCCCTATAGGCAAGGATAGGGGATATGGGACTCCTTGACAGCTTTCCTATTGAAGGGATGGAGCTACCTATTAGATTACGGTAAAGTGCCCTCTGCCCTACAGCCTAGCCTCAACTTGGCAATAGGAGTTGTCTAAAGAGAATAGTAATTGTTAATTGGATCTGGAAGGTTAGCCGACCAAAACTCCCTAGCTTGACTGACCGAAGGACCATAGTTTGGTCGACCGAAGGTCCCAAGCTATATCAACCCAAGCACACCCTGGGTAACCAAAATACCAATGCAGGAATGACCGAGACCCCCAATTCAACTGAATAAAAGCCCATATTTTGAATGATCAAAGGTCTATATATAGCTGACCGAAGGCCCTCAAATAAACCAACCGAAAATGTAGCCTCAGATGATTAGGGCATGAGACAACCAAATCAGAGGCCCCCTTTTATCTTTATTGATTATTTTATTCAAGTATTTATTTATAACCAAAAATTTCCTGTGAAGACTTTATTTAAAATAGGGATAGGTAGGTAAGTGTACACTTTATGTCCCCCTAGCCTATGCGTCGGGGATCATTTATACATCAAAGGACTAATGAATTATTCAAGCAAACCTAGACTCTTCTCTCTCTTTCTCTCTCTCCCTCCTGTTCTCATATGATCTATTCTTTAGTGTGCATACAGAACATTGCCGGATTCAACAGTAACACATAAATTCAATCTTTATATATGTCACCTTACATATGCATGAAAAAAGTATATATGTTTAATTTTTTTAATAGTTAAGATACTAATATTTTTGATATGAAATGAAATATCTGGGTGGTATATATCTAAAAAGGAAAATTTTATGTGATAAATATGTAATACATATAAATTGGCTGGTATGTATGTAAATGCCCATGTTTCATGTGTTAAAATTTAAGCCTTTTTTAAAATATTCGTCTTTTATAATACTCTAATTATTATATTTGAAATTTTCAAATGTTAGAAAAATTGTTAAATCGAAATTGAATTCTAAAATTTATCAAACTTACAAAACTGATGAGATTGAAATTTTGATTAATTAATCCAACTTGTGCTTCAATTTAAATCAATTAATACAAATCTTGTAAAGATTAAGGGCACGTTTGGGGCGACTTATTTGGTGCATTTGGCATTTGTTTCGTGCGTTTCATCCAAAAACGTTGTTCGGTTTTATAATAAGCGCGGCGGCAGACTTAACCCCGCAGCCTGCGTTCTTACCTAAGATAGTTACGCGCTTGCCCTTCGTTCCTCACTTTGTCCTTGTTTTGCCTTAGGTGCCTCGTCGCTTGCCTCGGTCCCTCGAATAAAAATTCTAATTTGAAGATAACTGTAGCGGGTTTGAATACTGTGGGCAACATATCAGCCCAAACTTAAGATTTCTATTTTTTTAAATTTGGAATGCAAGTCATCAAGGATAATTGCATACAGACCACCTGAAACATTGATATTTACATATTAAGCATCAAGATAACATTTTTTAAACGACCAAACCACCGTATTTAAGCGTGCCACAATCAAACTACTAGAATTTGATAAAAATGAAAAAAGTGGGTTAGGTTTTATCATGAATTTTGATATTTGGGTGAGAATTTGTAAAATGGACGAAAGAGGGTTGTTAATTTGTAAATAGCAAGTTTTGGATGGTGTGAATGTAATTGCCTCTTCTTCACAAAGTGTTTGAGAAACATGCTCTTGTTCGCGTAAGAATCGAAGGAATCAAAGCTCTCCTTAGATTCTCATATGCTTTTGATAGCTAGCGTTTGCAGTCCAAAAGAAGAATCTCAGCCATATCCGTTTCTTTCAATCACCCCCTCCACTTCCCTAATAATCCCAAGCCTGCCCTCATTCTCAAGAGAAAAATTTGCTTACCTAAGACTTACGCAGAGCTGTGTACGTCAGAGGTTATTCAAGGGGTATTAGAGAGTTATAGGTAGGCTATATCTCTTCTTTTAATATTAATTTCTTCGAAAGGTTTTTTTCAAAATGTTTAGAAGGAACAATACACTCTTGAATAAAATTCATATCAGCTCCGAGTTACCAAAAGTGGTGAGAAAAAGGAAATATATATTCTTGATTAATAATTAGTTTTATGGAGATGAATCATTTTTTTTTCATGATCGTCTTTAGAAGAGAGTTTAACATTTTAGTATTATTAAATGAAATGATTTTATTCGTGTTAGGGTATTACTCTTCTTATATTTCCTTATTAGTAATTTCAAGAGGTATTAATCTATGATTCATTTCTTTTTGTGATATCTTTAATTTAATTATTTCTTCTTTAAGATTATTAATTTCATTTTGTAAATCTGATATGTTGTTTGACAAGTCGTATGCTTTTCTGACATATGATTATCTACATCCTTCATGCTATATATTAAAAATTTATCTAAAATAGGTTTTTGTTTCTTTTCATTTAAAATATCCAAAAATTCTTCTATAATTTTAGAACTAGAAACATTAGTTAACAATTTAAATAATTGATCTTTTTGACCATTTGATAAAGTAAATAAACACATTTCAATGATAAATATATAATAATTACTATCACTATATTTATTACAACAAGATTGTTCTTCATTATCAGAAGTAGAAGTGGGATTAGAGGCATACTCTTTTTCATTGTTAGAAGTTAGAACTCTAGATTTAGATAAATTTAATAATACCTTCATTAAGGTTTGATTTAAACCTCTAGCAATTTGTAATTCATTTAATTTTTTTTAAAGGACATTTATTAGAATAATGTCCAAATTTTTCAAATCGATGACACTTATTATCTTTTACTTAAGTTTATTTTTCTTTTCAATATTTGTTGAAGAAGAAGGAATATCTCATGGGGAAGATTTTTCCATTATTTTTATACCTTTTAGACCTTTTTTTTGATAATGTCTATTTTTGTCAAATTTCTTTTCTTTTATTAATAGTTTATGATTTTCTTTAAAAGAAGATTCTACATAGGAAAATTGCTTACAAAATTATCTTAATTCCTTCAATGAATTTTTGTTTTCAATAATTATGATTAACAACAGGTAAATTCATTAGACTTCCAAGGAAGACTTTTTTATACCAACTAAATTGCTTAAGAGTAGGATAGCTTAATTTTTATAATAATGATTGAATTTGTGCCCCTCTATCTTCATAGGTGCTAGTAAACTATTCAAAGATATTAAAACCACTAAATGATACACAACTTTTGTATTTAGGGGAGTGTCATCTTTTAATTTTGTTTCCGCTAGAAGATCTTGTATTTGTTCTTCTATCATGAAATTGCCCTACCATCCTTTTAGGATATTGGTAAAACCATATGATCATTATAGCTACCTTAGGAGCAATATTTTATATAGATTGTACTGATGTAACATACATATGGTTTCTTTAATTTATTGATCAGATAATCAATCAATATTTTATTCATATACTTGAGAGACATCATATTTATATTGGTGATTGGAAGCTTCTTCTTCTTGGAATATATCCATAGGATCGGGTCTATTATAATAATAATGATTTAATGGTTTTTGGGGTCTTTTATTCTAGTGATTTCTAAAGATGGTTGTATTTGAAGCCTACTAAAAGAATTTTTTAGATCTTTTAACTCATTTTATGACATTGATTTTTCTGAATTTTCAGAGAGCTATTTATTATATGTGCCGATTTAAATTTTGTACTAATTTTTGAAAGTCATGTTTACTGTGACCAAAGTTATAGTTAAACTAAGAATTTACTTGAATAGTTCATTTTTTTATGATAATAGGTTTAGAAATATAAATATTTCTTTTACAACTTCTTTTGAATTTGAAATTTTATGTGTTGTGATCGGTTGTTGTATTTGGTCGATTTTTTTTTCTACTAATTGACTAAGAAGATCTGAGATAAGTTGTGATAAGCTATTAAAGTAATTTAATTGTTTAATAATTATAATGAATTCTTTTAATGTTTGGGTTTCAATTTTTATTTCTTCAAAGGCATCTAGTTCCAAATTTTCAATATTTAAATTAATACTTTATGTTACTGAAGGGTAAATAGAACTAATCGATTCTCCTTGATTAACTTTCTATGTTCTAGCTATTATATTTAGTTTTATTTTTCTTACATATTCTTTGATAAACCAATTAGTAAAAGCAATAATAGTGTATGCATTTTATTTTCTTCTAGTCATAGATATAAAACAATAATTATAAATTTGATATCTTTCATGTTTAGTTAGAAGTTTTTCCTATACCATTCTCTCAATTTAGAATATTTGGGAGATAAATAATTATGGGCAATAATGACATGATCTATACTTCATATTTTGTAATTGATTTAAAACTAAAGTTCATTTTGAAGGGGTAGGAGAGGAATGCTCTCTTACCCAATGCAAAATATGATGTGAATTTAATTAGTCATTACCTATATGTTCATTAATTATGTCTTCATTTACAGTTCTTTCGTATGTTGACGTAGAAGATGAAAGACTATGAGTTGAAGGTAAGGATATTCTAGATAGTTATATTAATCTCCTAGGAATAAATCTCTCTTCAACTTCTTCATCTGTGATTTGAATGATTTGATTTATTTCTTGATTAATGATTGATTTAGAATTAACTCCCAAAGATATATCACCCAAGAGTCTGGAAAATTTAGTTCACTCTATTTGATAAATTTATTTAGTACTACAATAAAAACAAGTAAAATAATTTCTATTAAATTAGTCCAATCAATATGTTGAGCTATTCTTTTTGTGTTGTGACATAATGTATTCATTATTTTGAAATTGATTCTATATATTAGAGCAATTGCTTCTGACCCTGGTAAAAATCTTAACCATATTTGAATTTATAATTTTGATACTTCAAATAAGTTTATATTTGTTAAAGATAAACTTAAATTTGGATACATATTAAAATATATTGGATCATGACATAAATTTTTTTCTAAAACTCCTATTAAATATTGAGCCCAATTTAGACATCTTCCATCTCTTAGACAAGCAAAGATAGAGATATTTAGTCCTCGCAGTGTTGAAGGTTTACATGCCTACCCTGAAGAGTATATGTATGTGAAAATAGGACATCTGTGCCTACCCAAGGAGTATATATGGGAACCTAACACTCAATGTGTCTATGAGAATAGGACGTCTGTGCCTACCCCAAAGAATATAGATGGGAATAGGACGTCTGTGCCTACCCCAAGAATATAGATGGGAATAGAGCGTCTGTACCTATCCCAAAGAATATAGATGGGAATAGGGTGTGTTTGCCTATCTCGAAGAGTATATATGGGGATAGGGCATCTGTGCCTATCCCAAAGAGTATAGATGGGGATAGGGCGTCTGTGCCTATCCCAGAGGGTATAGATGGGAATAGGGGGTCTGTGCCTATCCTAAAGAATATAGATGGGAATAGAGCGTATGTGCCTATCTCAAAGAATATAGATGGGAATAGAGCATCTGTGTTTATCCCGAAGAGTAAAAATGAGGATAGGGCGTCTGTGCCTATCCCGAAGAGTATAGATGAGGATAGGGTGTCTATGCCTATCTCAGAGGGTATAGATGGGAATAGAGCATCTATGCCTATTTCGAAGGGTATAGATGGGAATAGGGCGTTTGTGCCTACCCTAAAGAATATAGATGGGAATATTGCGTCTTTGCCTATCCCGAAGGGTATAGATGGGAATAGGGCGTCTATGCTTACCCCAAAGAATATAGATGAGAATAGGATGTCTGTGCCTAGCCCAAAGAATATAGATGGGAATAGAGCGTTTATGCCTACTCCAAAGAATATAGATGGGAATAGAGTGTTTGTGCCTACCACAAAGATTATAGATGGGAATAGAGCATTTGTGTCTATCCCAAAGAATATAGATGGGAATAGAGCACTTATGCCTATCCTGAAGAGTGAAGATGGGGATAGAGCGTCTGTTCCTATCTCGAAGAGTATAGATGGGGATAGGGCGTCTGTGCCTACCCTAAAGAATATAAATGGGAATAGAGTGTTTGTGCCTATCCCGAAGAGTATAGATGGGGATATGACATATGTGCCTACCCCAAAAAATATAGATGGGAATAGAGTGTCTATGCTTATCCCGAAGGGTATAGATGGGAATAGGGCGTCTAAGTATACCCCAAAGAATATAGATGGGAATAAAGCGTATGTGCCTATCCCAAAGTGATAGATGGGAATCAGAGCCCAGGTACTGACCCCGAGCATAACATAAAAATTGTGTAGAGAACTTGTGATGTTAACTTTATAGATATGTGGCATATGAAAATCTCACAAAAATTTGCACACTCCCGGGATGCAATATTTAGCTAAATCAGCACCATTTCCATATAAAACCACTACCAATCCCAGTGGCAGCGGAATTTCAATGGACCCTCTGAATTCCCTTGGACCAAAAATATCAATCTATGTTTTGAAGAGTATATTGCTTTTGCTCACAAAAGACACTGTGCAAAAGGGTCTAACTAAATCATGATGGTCAATATGAGGAGGAATGCAGCTCCCTTCATCAGAATGCAGCTCCCTTCATCATAAGCTCCCTTCATCATAAATATTGATGATGAAACTGTTTGGGATGCAGTCTGGCGGCAGTATACTCCATCAAACTAATCCTTGAACCATTCTCTTTATCACATAAGGCATTAGATCCACTTCATCTCCCTTGTCAGTCTTCAACAAAATTGTAGCAACAACCACATTAAATGATTATCATATCATTCCAGCGCATCCCCTTTCGTGGTTTCACATATGTTCTTGGCCTCAGTAGACCAGCTCGACCTCTAGCTTGCAGGTCAAATACACAATCCAAAATCCTCTTCTCATCGCTCTCTGAGAAGACTCCAGTATATAGTGCCAAGCCTTCCAATATATTGACGACTTCACCCCGGACCTCTTCATAGAATTCAAATTCTCTTCGCTTTACTCTGCACATTCTTTCCATCTCAGCTATAGGAATATCATCAAATTATCAAGGTGGCCTTCTTGTCTCAATCTCTTCAACGACCAGTGTCTGCTCTGTACCTGCAGGTAGTGGAATATATGACTCAATGTTTGTATCTGCTGCCTTGTGACCTCCTACTCTGGCGGCTGTGAATTCTTGCACTGAACTATAGTAATCCAAGTGTACAACATTGCATCATGGGCATTCTACAATTTTTTGTCTAGTAGAAGCTTATGTGGGCAACTCTGCATTACACATTGGACAGCCCCTATAGGATTCATGGGGCATCTCTGTCTACGTCGGCTCTAAGGCTAGCTCTAGCTCATCCTCTGTTCCTGGTAGACTGGAAGTGGTTTCTTTCATAGGTGGTTCATAAATCTTCCCCTCAGTAATTGGGGCAAGTAATCCAACTTCTTCTTTTTTGCTTTCTTCTTTCTTTCTGTTTGAAGGCTATATGTTTTCATCGGTTGGCATTGCGACGTTGTCTTCTACGAAGTGGTGCGTCCGACACTCTATCCTCATTGGCACTTATCGAATTTCCCTTCAGTGCAGTTATCAAGGACTGTAGACAATTGGTCCCTTCCATTGGGTATTATTGAGTGATCACCTTTTTTTTCTTTCGCGAGAAATTGTCTTCAGCTCTAATTTTTAGTAGAGATGGTAATCCTTCATTTTGCCGCCGACGGACAATGTCCATCAAGGGACCTTCATAATTTACATCAACCTGACCAAAATCAAAATTGAGGTC